CCAGGTGACATTGTTAATAGTGCCTTGTTACTAGGGGAGCAGGTGATCCTGGCCAGGGTAAGGAACCAGGTGACATTGTTAATAATGCCTTGTTACTAGGGGAGCAGGTGATCCTGGCCAGGGTAAGGAACCAGGTGACATTGTTAATAATGCCTTGTTACTAGGGGAGCAGGTGATCCTGGCCAGGGTAAGGAACCAGGTGACATTGTTAATAATGCCTTGTTACTAGGGGAGCAGGTGATCCTGGCCAGGGTAAGGAACCAGGTGACATTGTTAATAATGCCTTGTTACTAGGGGAGCAGGTGATCCTGGCCAGGGTAAGGAACCAGGTGACATTGTTAATAGTGCCTTGTTACTAGGGGAGCAGGTGATCCTGGCCAGGGTAAGGAACCAGGTGACATTGTTAATAGTGCCTTGTTACTAGGGGAGCAGGTGATCCTGGCCAGGGTAAGGAACCAGGTGACATTGTTAATAGTGCCTTGTTACTAGGGGAGCAGGTGATCCTGGCCAGGGTAAGGAACCAGGTGACATTGTTAATAATGCCTTGTTACTAGGGGAGCAGGTGATCCTGGCCAGGGTAAGGAACCAGGTGACATTGTTAATAGTGCCTTGTTACTAGGGGAGCAGGTGATCCTGGCCAGGGTAAGGAACCAGGTGACATTGTTAATAGTGCCTTGTTACTAGGGGAGCAGGTGATCCTGGCCAGGGTAAGGAACCAGGTGACATTGTTAATAATGCCTTGTTACTAGGGGAGCAGGTGATCCTGGCCAGGGTAAGGAACCAGGTGACATTGTTAATAATGCCTTGTTACTAGGGGAGCAGGTGATCCTGGCCAGGGTAAGGAACCAGGTGACATTGTTAATAATGCCTTGTTACTAGGGGAGCAGGTGATCCTGGCCAGGGTAAGGAACCAGGTGACATTGTTAATAATGCCTTGTTACTAGGGGAGCAGGTGATCCTGGCCAGGGTAAGGAACCAGGTGACATTGTTAATAATGCCTTGTTACTAGGGGAGCAGGTGATCCTGGCCAGGGTAAGGAACCAGGTGACATTGTTAATAATGCCTTGTTACTAGGGGAGCAGGTGATCCTGGCCAGGGTAAGGAACCAGGTGACATTGTTAATAATGCCTTGTTACTAGGGGAGCAGGTGATCCTGGCCAGGGTAAGGAACCAGGTGACATTGTTAATAATGCCTTGTTACTAGGGGAGCAGGTGATCCTGGCCAGGGTAAGGAACCAGGTGACATTGTTAATAATGCCTTGTTACTAGGGGAGCAGGTGATCCTGGCCAGGGTAAGGAACCAGGTGACATTGTTAATAGTGCCTTGTTACTAGGGGAGCAGGTGATCCTGGCCAGGGTAAGGAACCAGGTGACATTGTTAATAGTGCCTTGTTACTAGGGGAGCAGGTGATCCTGGCCAGGGTAAGGAACCAGGTGACATTGTTAATAATGCCTTGTTACTAGGGGAGCAGGTGATCCTGGGGCGGCCCGCACAGTACCTCACACACACACACACACACACACACACACACACACACACACACACACACACACACACACACACACACACACACACACACACACACACGCACGCGCGCACACACACACACACACACACACACACACACACACACACACACACACACACACACACACACACACACACACACATACACAGACACACACAGTTGAGAGTTGAGTTAACAGTTGAGAGGCGGGACCAAAGAGCCAAAGCTCAACCCCCGCAAGCACAAATAGGTGAGTACACACACACACACACACACACACACACACACACACACATACACACACACACACACACACACACACACACACACACACACACACACACACACACACACACACACACACACACACACACACACACACACACACACCTGGTCGCCACACCTCCCGCAGGGCACACCAGAGCTCCTCACACACACACACACACACACCTGGTCGCCACACCTCCCGCAGGGCACACCAGAGCTCCTCACACACACACACACACACACCTGGTCGCCACACCTCCCGCAGGGCACACCAGAGCTCCTCACACACACACACACACACACCTGGTCGCCACACCTCCCGCAGGGCACACCAGAGCTCCTCACACACACACACACACACACCTGGTCGCCACACCTCCCGCAGGGCACACCAGAGCTCCTCACACACACACACACACACACACACACACACACACACACACACACACACACACACACACACACACACACACACACACACACACACACACACACCTGGTCGCCACACCTCCCGCAGGGCACACCAGAGCTCCTCACACACACACACACACACACACACAAACATGGGTACACTTATAACTGGTGATCCGCTGTGCGTTCTATGGGTCCCATCTACATGGAAACTTTCCTTTACTCTGCTAATGTATATATATCTAGCCTAACTTAAATTAATATTGCACATAAAGGTCGAGAAAGCTGATGCAAAGACAACAACAAGAAACTAGACACGTCAGTCAGTCTCAGGTAAGAAGTTTACCGTTGTTACCCCTCGAGCTCCATAACCGGCCTACACCGCGGTATTAGCAGCCTAGTGACCTCATGCCCAAGGTTCAGTTTAGCCTGGTACTCGACCGCTTCTTGGTAATTACATTTATTTTCGAGATAAAATATTTTTAGCTTTTCTCGTTAATTGGTTACCAAAATCACTGATAACTATATAGTTTAGTTTATATATTATGGACCTGGTGCTCATCCTGTGAGCGGCAGTGGCGACGTTACAGAGGCACATAAGCTGTAGGAAATCATATTTTAATTTACCAATTCATCATAGCAAGTGGTTTTCTTACAGTTAATTGCTGGACTAGAAAAAACTCAGCGCTCGCTCATGAGGGCAACACCGTCGGTCTGCTCCACCAAAACAACACTTACGGCAGATGTACCAAGAGGCCAAAATAAATGCAGGTGTGTGTGTAATGTTATCGATTTGTAGATACTAGAGCTTTAGAAATGATTCCATTAGATTAGGAGCACTGCCCCTTGTTAGGGGCCCAGCACACACATTTACCATCGTCGACCAATTACTATTTCTGTTGTCTCTGTCAAACAATTTTTATTGCTTCATAAAATATAAATATTGGGCTGCAGTTCTGCTCGTGAATGATTTAACAAAAAATGTCAAGTGTCAAACAATATATAAGATTGAACAGTTATGTTATATTTACTCTTTCTCCTGGCTTCTAGTATGGGTATTTCCATAGCCTTCAGCCTGGACAAAAGGACGGACTGGATAAAAATAATCCCCCAGACAAGACCTGGGGAACCAGTGATGGTGTTGTAAGAGAGTAGTGCTCTCTAGGGTGGAGTGCTGTGGCACACTAACAGCTCCATTTAATGCTGGAGCAGTTGTTGACGTGGAGAAGGCACAGAGAACTGCCCAATTAGATTACATAAAACGTTAAATTATTGGGATTGTTTAAAATCTCTCAAACTGTTCGCTTTTTAAGGAGCAGACGAGAGACATAATAATTTAGACTTGGAAAATATTAGAGCGACTAGGAAGTGATTCCTTATGGTATCAGGAGGCATGGCAGGAGGCGCAATGTACCCTATTTGGACAGAAGAGTTGCAATAGGTGGGTTGAGAGACTTCTCTCAACACGAAGGGCCCAAGACGCTTCAATACTCTGGTCCCTCGTTAAGGCCGTGACCGGCCGACCTCTCACAGTGTTCAGAAGGGAACTCTATAAACGCGTCCTAAAGATACCAAATGAACTGCGATCAGCGACGTCTAACAGCCTGGTTGAAAAGATCATCAACCACGAGCCCTGGTCAGAGACCGGGCCAAGGGGGACATTGATCCTGTGAACTTCCACAAAGTAACCTCAGGGTAAGGTGTACGTACACCCCGTCTCAGTGTGGAGGCCAGAGTATACAAATGGTCTACTAAATCAACCTATTCTTGACGGCAGTAGTGCACACCTGCCGGTATCCCAGAGCCCCCAGACAGCTCGGAAGGCGGGTAATGTACAGCCTCAGGGGGTGAAAGGCAGGACAGGAGAGGTGGGGTAGGGGGGGGGGTGAGATGAGGTGCAGCAGATACCACGAGCCTCGGGGTACACCTCCCATACCAGTGTCTCGCTCAGGTACCTCACCACCTAACGGTCCTGCTGGTCTTGTCCCTCAAGGAAGACCTTGACTCTACCTGTCCCGGAGCTTCTAAACCATCCCCAGAGCTTCTAAACCACCCCAGAGCTTCTAAACCACCCCAGAGCTTCTAAACCACCCAAGAGCTTCTAAACCATCCCCAGAGCTTCTAAACCACCCCAGAGCTTCTAAACCACCCCAGAGCTTCTAAACCACCCAAGAGCTTCTAAACCACCCCAGAGCTTCTAAACCACCCCAGAGCATCTAAATCACCCCCAGAGCTTCTAAACCACCCCAGAGCTTCTAAACCACCCCAGAGCTTCTAAACCACCTTCAGAGCTTCTAACCCACCCCCAGAGCTTCTAAACCACCTTCAGAGCTTCTAACCCACCCCCAGAGCTTCTAAACCACCCCAGAGCTTCTAAACCACCCCAGAGCTTCTAAACCACCCCAGAGCTTCTAAACCACCCCAGAGCTTCTAAATCACCCCCAGAGCTTCTAAATCACCCCCAGAGCTTCTAAACCACCCCCAGAGCTTCTAAATCACCCCCAGAGCTTCTAAACCACCCCCAGAGCTTCTAAACCACCCCCAGAGCTTCTAAACCACCCCCAGAGCTTCTAAACCACCCCAGAGCTTCTAAACCACCCCCAGAGCTTCTAAACCACCCCCAGAGCTTCTAAACCACCCCCAGAGCTTCTAAACCACCTCCAGAGCTTCTAAATCACCTCCAGAGCTTCTAAACCACCCCAGAGCTTCTAAACCACCCCCAGAGCTTCTAAACCACCACACTGAGAGGCAAACAGAGTCAGTACCCAATGAATTGGGTATTGAATTTGTTTGCCTCTCAATGTCTGTATTTCGTTAATCATGTCTCTCGGTGACTGTATCTCTCGGTGACTGTATCTCTCGGTGACTGTATCTCTCGGTGACTGTATCTCTCGGTGACTGTATCTCTCGGTGACTGTATCTCTCGGTGACTGTATCTCTCAGTGACTGTATCTCTCGGTGACTGTATCTCTCGGTGACTGTATCTCTCGGTGACTGTATCTCTCGGTGACTGTATCTCTCGGTGACTGTATCTCTCAGTGACTGTATCTCTCGGTGACTGTATCTCTCGGTGACTGTATCTCTCGGTGACTGTATCTCTCGGTGACTGTATCTCTCGGTGACTGTATCTCTCGGTGACTGTATCTCTCGGTGACTGTATCTCTCGGTGACTGTATCTCTCAGTGACTGTATCTCTCGGTGACTGTATCTCTCGGTGACTGTATCTCTCGGTGACTGTATCTCTCGGTGACTGTATCTCTCGGTGACTGTATCTCTCGGTGACTGTATCTCTCGGTGACTGTATCTCTCGGTGACTGTATCTCTCGGTGACTGTATCTCTCGGTGACTGTATCTCTCAGTGACTGTATCTCTCGGTGACTGTATCTCTCGGTGACTGTATCTCTCGGTGACTGTATCTCTCGGTGACTGTATCTCTCGGTGACTGTATCTCTCGGTGACTGTATCTCTCGGTGACTGTATCTCTCGGTGACTGTATCTCTCGGTGACTGTATCTCTCGGTGACTGTATCTCTCGGTGACTGTATCTCTCGGTGACTGTATCTCTCGGTGACTGTATCTCTCGGTGACTGTATCTCTCGGTGACTGTATCTCTCGGTGACTGTATCTCTCGGTGACTGTATCTCTCGGTGACTGTATCTCTCGGTGACTGTATCTCTCGGTGACTGACTGTATCTCTCGGTGACTGTATCTCTCGGTGACTGTATCTCTCGGTGACTGTATCTCTCGGTGACTGTATCTCTCGGTGACTGTATCTCTCGGTGTGACTGTATCTCTCGGTGACTGTATCTCTCGGTGTGGTGTATCTCTCGGTGACTGTATCTCTCGGTGACTGTATCTCTCGGTGACTGTATCTCTCGGTGACTGTATCTCTCGGTGACTGTATCTCTCGGTGACTGTATCTCTCGGTGACTGTATCTCTCGGTGACTGTATCTCTCGGTGACTGTATCTCTCGGTGACTGTATCTCTCGGTGACTGTATCTCCGGTGACTGTATCTCCGGTGACTGTATCTCTGGTGACTGTATCTCAGGTGACTGTATCTCAGGTGACTGTATCTCAGGTGACTGTATCTCTCGGTGACTGTATCTCTCGGTGACTGTATCTCTCGGTGACTGTATCTCTCGGTGACTGTATCTCTCGGTGACTGTATCTCTCGGTGACTGTATCTCTCGGTGACTGTATCTCTCGGTGACTGTATCTCTCGGTGACTGTATCTCTCGGTGACTGTATCTCTCGGTGACTGTATCTCTTGGTGCCTATATTTATCGGTGTGTGTATTCACCTAATTGTGCTTGCGGGGGTTGAGCTCTGCTCTTTCGGCCCGCCTCTCAACTTTCATTTTTTTTTTAACACACACACAGGAAGCCGCCCGTAACATCTATCTAACTCCCAGGTACCTATTTCCTGTTAGGTAACAGGGGTCATCAGCGTGAAAGAAACTCTGCCCATTTGTTTTCCACTATCGCCGGGGATTGAACCCGGAAACCAGGATTTCGAGTCACAAGCGCTGTGCACTCAGCCACAGGGCCCATATATATCTCGGTGTCTGTATCTCTCGGTGCCTGTATCTTTTGGTGTACTACCCTAACTTGTTTTTGAATTTGGTCCCGATGGGAGAGTTATTGGGCAGCGTCACTCATCCTGTGAGTGGACACACCGCCATAGTGACAGTATTGGGCAGCGTCACTCATCCTGTGAGTGGACACACCGCCATAGTGACAGTATTGGGCAGCGTCACTCATCCTGTGAGTGGACACACCGCCATAGTGACAGTATTGGGCAGCGTCACTCATCCTGTGAGTGGACACACCGCCATAGTGACAGTATTGGGCAGCGTCACTCATCCTGTGAGTGGACACACCGCCATAGTGACAGTATTGGGCAGCGTCACTCATCCTGTGAGTGGACACACCGCCATAGTGACAGTATTGGGCAGCGTCACTCATCCTGTGAGTGGACACACCGCCATAGTGACAGTATTGGGCAGCGTCACTCATCCTGTGAGTGGACACACCGCCATAGTGACAGTATTGGGCAGCACCACTCATCCTGTGAGTGGACACACCGCCATAGTGACAGTATTGGGCAGCGTCACTCATCCTGTGAGTGGACACACCGCCATAGTGACAGTATTGGGCAGCGTCACTCATCCTGTGAGTGGACACACCGCCATAGTGACAGTATTGGGCAGCGTCACTCATCCTGTGAGTGGACACACCGCCATAGTGACAGTATTGGGCAGCGTCACTCATCCTGTGAGTGGACACACCGCCATAGTGACAGTATTGGGCAGCACCACTCATCCTGTGAGTGGACACACCGCCATAGTGACAGTATTGGGCAGCGTCACTCATCCTGTGAGTGGACACACCGCCATAGTGACAGTATTGGGCAGCGTCACTCATCCTGTGAGTGGACACACCGCCATAGTGACAGTATTGGGCAGCACCACTCATCCTGTGAGTGGACACACCGCCATAGTGACAGTATTGGGCAGCGTCACTCATCCTGTGAGTGGACACACCGCCATAGTGACAGTATTGGGCAGCGTCACTCATCCTGTGAGTGGACACACCGCCATAGTGACAGTATTGGGCAGCGTCACTCATCCTGTGAGTGGACACACCGCCATAGTGACAGTATTGGGCAGCGTCACTCATCCTGTGAGTGGACACACCGCCATAGTGACAGTATTGGGCAGCACCACTCATCCTGTGAGTGGACACACCGCCATAGTGACAGTATTGGGCAGCGTCACTCATCCTGTGAGTGGACACACCGCCATAGTGACAGTATTGGGCAGCACCACTCATCCTGTGAGTGGACACACCGCCATAGTGACAGTATTGGGCAGCGTCACTCATCCTGTGAGTGGACACACCGCCATAGTGACAGTATTGGGCAGCGCCACTCATCCTGTGAGTGGACACACCGCCACAGTGACAGTATTGGGCAGCGCCACTCATCCTGTGAGTGGACACACCGCCACAGTGACAGTATTGGGCAGCGCCACTCATCCTGTGAGTGGACACACCGCCACAGTGACAGTATTGGGCAGCGCCACTCATCCTGTGAGTGGACACACCGCCACAGTGACAGTATTGGGCAGCGCCACTCATCCTGTTAGTGAACACACCGCCACAGTGACAGTATTGGGCAGCGCCACTCATCCTGTGAGTGGACACACCGCCACAGTGACAGTATTGGGCAGCGCCACTCATCCTGTGAGTGGACACACCGCCACAGTGACAGTATTGGGCAGCTCCACTCATCCTGTTAGTGAACACACCGCCATAGCAGCATTTACAACACTCCCCAATAGGAAGAAAACCCACTGGGTTGTTCATCCTCGGGCCAAGGGGCCTCGTAGCCTGGTGGATAGAGCGCAGGACTCGTAATTCTGTGGCGCGGGTTCGATTCCCGCACGAGGCAGAAACAAATGGGCAAAGTTTCTTTCACCCTGAATGCCCCTGTTACCTAGCAGTAAATAGGTACCTGGGTGTTAGTCAGCTGTCACGAGCTGCTTCCTGGGGGTGGAGGGCTGGTCGAGGACCGGGCCGCGGGGACACTAAAGCCTCGAAATCATCTCAAGATAACCTCAAGATCCAGTCATCTGTACCCCAGACACAGCTGGGACTTGCTTAACTGTCTCAAGTGAACAGCTAATCAAACAAAAAGATTAACACCTGTCAACCCTTAAGTACGTTATCTTGCGGGTGCAAAATGGGGAAATCTTTTAAGAACAGTTTCTATATGTGACAAATAGTGTTTTCCTAACACAAGCAATGTGGGGTTTATTATTCTACACATATTTCTGATGACTCTTAGATGTTCACACTCTCAGGTAGTGGTCAAGACGGTGTCCGTCACTCTCATCACAGATTCTGCAACTCCTCTATTCAAGTGTTGTTTCCACTCCGAATCTCCATGGATATTTGTATCCAAGACGGATTCTCGCTATTACTGATTCTCTCCCTCGTCCATCTCCTCTTCGGCCATAATGATTGGGATTGCCAACTGCAACCATGTTGTACCAGCGTACAGATTCACTGGTTTGTGCTTCTGTCCTCCTTTTCCCAGTTTCCTTGTCACGGTGATGTTACCTGACTTTTTTTTTTTTTATTAAGATATGAGGTACATCTGCATTAGTGCAGCTACCCTAGACAATATGAAGTGGAGTACAGTGTGTCAAAAAATGCTAACTAGGTGATGCTAAGAAATCCCCATCACGCAGGATGGTTAGTCATACAGAGGCATGTGATAAGCGGTCTGCACTGGCAGACTCCGGATGCATTTTGAGGATATCAACAACACAAGATTGAATAAGGTAGCAGTGGTAATACAAGTCCCCATCTCGCAGGATGGTTAGTCATACAGAGCCATGTGTTTAATAGCCTGCACTGGCAAATTTTGGGTATACTGTGAGGATATCTTCAAGAATACGAGAGTGAATAAAGTAATTGCAAAGCTCCAGGTACCTCATGCCAACTGGTCTGAAAGGTCTAATAACTGGGCATTCAGTGATGTAGTGCGAGAGATCATGCCGTAGTTCCTGCTCACAGAGTTTGCAACTGGAGTGCTCAGGATTGGGAGACCCGTCACCTGCAGCCACCTGCCACATGTAACGGTAACCCAACCTGATCCTGGCAACCACTGTGTCGCACAGTCTAGTGGACGTTTTGTGCTGTCCATAGATGTAGGTTTCAGATCTGAACAAATCATAGCTTTTTATACTAGTACTTTCAGGTCGTTGGGAGTCAGTAAATTCTTTCCTATCAGATCTGAATGTTTGGACCAATGTTGCCTGACAGTACCTCTAATTTGTAGAAGAGTCTTGGGTATGAAGTATTCAATATGGTCTCCTTCAGCGCCTTCAGCAGCCAGCACATCTGCTCGTTCATTCCCACATATTCCAACATGGGACGGGATCCACAGAAACTTGACGACTCTTCCCTGATTGGTTAGTACTCTCACAGCTCTCTTGATCCAACCCGTCCTCTTAAAAATAAAGTCACTATTCGCTCGTATGAGCACTATGGCCAAAAAGTGGACGTAATTTGAAATGAAATCGACTCACATAAGTGACGTACTGTTCCGTTTTCTGATTGAGTCGGCCGGCTTACTCGGTAAGGTTAAAAGAGGAAACTTTCAATTAACGTTTTTCATAACGTTTTGAAACTTTATGAGAATTTCCTGCCCACCTAACCTACCAGAGGACCCTTAACTTACTGTTGTTGAAAAAAAATCGCAAATTTATTTTCATTTTTTTTTTCATTTTCAAATTACGTCCATTATCGGCCATACGGGCAAACGGCCAAAAGCGACGTTATTTTTAAGATGACAGGTTGTGCAACGCCCGATTTTTACTAAGGCTTTGTAGTGCTATTTTGGAATCAATGCAGATCACTGCGCCATTAGTACTTCGTTCAAGGAATCTTAACGCCATAACAGTGGCAGTTAACTCCGTTTGTGTTGAAGAGGCATAGTTCTCAATACGTGCATTTTCTTCGTTTCCGCGATGAAAGGCATTATTCCTAATTGCAGTGTATGCTGCATCAGCCTTGCCGGTGACAGGGGTTAGATGACGCGTCAGTGTAGATTTGATCTAATTCATTTCCGCCTTCTTTATAGATTTCCTCAAAATAATTGTGCCTCATTTTTTGAGTCATCATGTTGGAATTTTTCGTTGTCATTTCACTGATGATAATCCTGCATGAGTCATCCTCCCAGGGAGGTAACCTCTCTACAGGCAGGAGCTCACGGGCTTGCTCAAGCAGGTGAAGTTCTTACAGGTAGCAGACTGACCTGTGATGACATTTTTTGCTTATCCTGTTTTCTCCTGTAAGCAGCACAGAGCTCAGTTTTTTTCTTGGTAATATCATTGTAATGGGGATCTCTTGCTACCTTAATTGCAGGCTTAGCATTCAGTTCCTTAATTCTGCTTTTAACACTGGAGAGGGACAACTCCTCTCGTAGATTAGACGTTTTGACAGTTCTTGGGACTCCAAGAATGATTGTCATGGCTTTATTTTGTATGTTTTCAAGTTTTTTTCATATTGCTTTGGGAGTAGGTGCACAAAGACTGTTGCGGCATAGTCTATGACGGAGCGCACATAGGCTGTGTACATCATTTTAAGCACGGCAATTGAGGCTCCATGTCCATTCCAGGTCATGGCTTTCAGTGCCCTGAGTCGACTTTTGCATGTTCCTATGAGTTGGTTGAGCTCCTCTTTCTTCCCCTTGTTAGAGCCGACAGTGACGCCTAGGTACCGATAGTGGTCAACCCATTCAAGTATTACACCGTTAATTTGCAGTTCTTCATTTTCTGCCCGCTTGTGATGAGAGTTTGCTTTTGTCTTGTTTGTGGAGAGAGTGAAACCGAGTTCAACACATTTCCTATCAAGAGCTCAATGGACTGTTTAATTTTCCCCCCCCCCAAGGTGGGAGCTTGTATTAGGACATCGTCTGCATATCCCACTTGTTGTGTTCCTTCCGGAAATTCAATATTTGTAATGGTGTTCATAAGTATGTTAAATAGTGTGGGGCTTAAGACCCATCCTTGGGGGGGGGGGGGTCCCGAGTACCATACTCATCGTTCTTGAGACTGCTCCATTGAAGCAGACCTTGGCTTTACTCCCTGTGAGGTAGTCTTCAATCCATTTCACAAGTCTCTCCTTGACGCCCGTGCATGCAAGCTCGTCCAGGATCGCAATCCCCTGTGCTTTGTCGAAGGCTCCTTTAATGTCAACAAATACAGAGTACTCAGGAGGCATTACTTCGGTTTCGGAAAAGTTGTTCAATGTCAACCAATATTTTTTGCCTAGTTGTATATGAAAAGGGCTGCAATTGTGCCAAGTTTCAGTACTGCAGCGTAAATAGAAAGGGAGATACTGTATATATTTTTTTTCAAAAGATTTTATACATTTTTGAGTGTGAATAAAAAAACACACCTTTCAGATATAATCATTCTATGACACTTTTCTGACACATTAGCATATAATAAAGGATCTGGAGTTAGGGAGTTTCCAAAACATCTTTAGTTTTCCTAATACAAATATTCAAAGTTCGCCCAAAAACTTATGCAAATATGTCATGTTTATTGCTATTATAAAATCAATAAATAAACTTAGGACAAAACGATAACTTGACTGTTTAGAGACATAAACTTCACATATAAGGTGTAAGTTTCATGTAAATTGAATAAAAAATAAAAAAGTTATTCAAACATTTATGTTATTTTAAAACATTTTAAATATATAAGAAAATAATAAAGTCTAAGGTGCTGCCATCTGTGGCTGAGGTTGACATCAACCAGTTTTCTCCAAAATTGGCACCCTTACAGATAGGCTTATGTGCAGTCAGGTGTATAAGTTTCATGAAAATCGTCCGATAAAAAAAAAAAAAATTTTGGGGGGGGAAAAAAATAATTTTTTTTAACTTAAATTTTTTTCTAATAACACTATTTTTTTATATATGCTATTGTGATAGCCGAGAGTCATAGATATGATTTCAGTTGACACTTGGGTTTGATAATCATTTTTGACCATTTTGGAATAATTTTGAAACCTACTTCAATATTTTTTTTCTCCCTTCCTATTTATGCTACGATGCTGAGACTTGGGCCAGATGAAACACTCTTCATGTACAACTCTTCAAAAAAGTTTGATTGAAATCGAACCAGTTTTCATTTATTGCATATTTTGGGCAAATTGGGAGGTCAATTTAGCTGTGTCATTAGCCAAGAAATTAACTATACAGTTTGCTGTGCTCCGTCCTTTAACAAATCCATTAACCCCCTCCCCTAACCTACCTATTTTGTGTCGATTTAGAATGGTCCTTTCAAGCATCTTGTATGTGCATGTGCATGACACGAGACTAGTTGTACTCACTTAGTTGTGCCGGGGGTTGAGCTTCGGCTTTTTGGTCCCGCCTCTCAACCGTTAATCTACCGGTATACAGAATACAGAGCTTCTCGAGCTCTATCATATCTACTTTTGAAACTGTGTATGGAGTCTGCCTCCACCACATTACTTCCTAGTGCATTCCATTTACTAACTACTCTGACATTGAAATCCTGTGAGGCATGATTTACCATCCCTGAACCCATGATGATATTGTGTTACAAAGTTCTTTCGCCCCAGATGTTCCACTAGCTTTTTTCGCACACTCTTCTGCATCATCTTGCATGGTATGCAAGTTAGGGACACTGGCCTGTAGTTCAGTGCCTCCTGTCTGTCCCCTTTCTTGTATATCAGGACTACATTAGCCATCTTTCAAGTTTTTGGCAGTTCACCTGTTACCAGTGATTTGTTATACACCATGGAGAGTGGCAGGCACAGAGCTTCTGCACCTTCCTTTAGTATCCATGGTGAGATTCCATCTGGGCCTATAGCCTTTGTCACATCCAACTCTAGCAGATGCTTCCTCGCCTCTCCACTGGTAATCACAAACTCATCTAGTGGTATTTGGTTCGATATTCACTCTCTTATCTCTGGGATTTCTACTTGCTCTACTGTGAAGACCTGGAATTTCCTATTCAGTTCCTTGCACACGTCGTTGTCGTTTGTAGTGAATCTGTCCGCCCCTATTCTCAGTTTCATTACCTGGTCCTTCACTGTTGTTTTCCTCCTAATGTGGCTGTGCAGCAATTTAGTCTTTGCCTTGCTTGCTATGTCATTTTTAAATCGCCTCTCTTCTCACCCTGACGTATTCATTCCTGGCTCTGTGGTATCTTTCTCTGCTCTCAAGTGTCCTGTTATTGCTATAGTTTCATCACGCCCTCGTACTTAGTTGCTTAGCTAGTTTACATCTCTGATTCAACCATGGGTTTTGTCGTCTGCATTTCATTTGTTTCCTTTTCGACTGGAACGAATTTTTCTGCTGCCTCCTTACACTTCTGTGTGATGAAGGTGGTGCCTGTATCTCTCGGTGCCTGTATCTCTCGGTGTCTGTATCTCTCGGTGTCTGTATCTCTCGGTGTGTGTATCTCTTGGTGCCTGTATCTCTTGGTGTGTGTATCTCTTGGTGCCTGTATCTCTTGGTGTGTGTATCTCTTGGTGCCTGTATCTCTTGGTGTGTGTATCTCTTGGTGCCTGTATCTCTTGGTGTGTGTATCTCTTGGTGCCTGTATCTCTTGGTGTGTGTATCTCTTGGTGCCTGTATCTCTTGGTGTGTGTATCTCTTGGTGCCTGTATCTCTTGGTGTGTGTATCTCTTGGTGTCTGTATCTCTTGGTGCCTGTATCTCTTGGTGCCTGTATCTCTTGGTGTCTGTATCTCTTGGTGTGTGTATCTCTTGGTGCCTGTATCTCTTGGTGTGTGTATCTCTTGGTGCCTGTATCTCTTGGTGCCTGTATCTCTTGGTGCCTGTATCTCTCGGTGTCTGTATCTCTCGGTGTCTGTATCTCTCGGTGTCTGTATCTCTCGGTGTCTGTATCTCTCGGTGTCTGTATCTCTCGGTGTCTGTATCTCTCGGTGTCTGTATCTCTTGGTGCCTGTATCTCTTGGTGCCTGTATCTCTTGGTGTGTGTATCTCTTGGTGCCTGTATCTCTTGGTGCCTGTATCTCTTGGTGCCTGTATCTCTTGGTGCCTGTATCTCTCGGTGCCTGTATCTCTCGGTGTCTGTATCTCTCGGTGTCTGTATCTCTCGGTGTCTGTATCTCTTGGTGCCTGTATCTCTTGGTGTGTGTATCTCTTGGTGTCTGTATCTCTTGGTGTCTGTATCTCTTGGTGCCTGTATCTCTTGGTGTGTGTATCTCTTGGTGCCTGTATCTCTTGGTGCCTGTATCTCTCGGTGCCTGTATCTCTTGGTGTGTGTATCTCTTGGTGCCTGTATCTCTTGGTGCCTGTATCTCTCGGTGTCTATCTCTCGGTGTCTGTATCTCTTGGTGCCTGTATCTCTTGGTGTGTGTATCTCTTGGTGCCTGTATCTCTTGGTGCCTGTATCTCTTGGTGCCTGTATCTCTTGGTGTGTGTATCTCTTGGTGCCTGTATCTCTCGGTGCCTGTATCTCTTGGTGCCTGTATCTCTCGGTGCCTGTATCTCTTGGTGCCTGTATCTCTTGGTGCCTGTATCTCTCGGTGCCTGTATCTCTTGGTGTGTGTATCTCTTGGTGCCTGTATCTCTTGGTGCCTGTATCTCTTGGTGCCTGTATCTCTTGGTGCTTGTATCTCTTGGTGCCTGTATCTCTTGGTGTGTGTATCTCTTGGTGTGTGTATCTCTTGGTGCCTGTATCTCTTGGTGTCTGTATCTCTTGGTGCCTGTATCTCTTGGTGTCTGTATCTCTTGGTGCCTGTATCTCTTGGTGCCTGTATCTCTTGGTGTGTGTATCTCTCGGTGCCTGTATCTCTTGGTGTGTGTATCTCTTGGTGCCTGTATATCTTGGTGTGTGTATCTCTTGGTGCCTGTATCTCTTGGTGCCTGTATCTCTTGGTGTGTGTATCTCTCGGTGCCTGTATCTCTTGGTGTGTGTATCTCTTGGTGCCTGTATCTCTTGGTGCCTGTATCTCTTGGTGCCTGTATGTCTTGGTGCCTGTATCTCTTGGTGCCTGTATCTCTTGGTGCCTGTATCTCTTGGTGCCTGTATCTCTTGGTGTCTGTATCTCTCGGTGTCTGTATCTCTCGGTGCCTGTATCTCTTGGTGTGTGTATCTCTTGGTGCCTGTATCTCTTGGTGTCTGTATCTCTCGGTGTCTGTATCTCTCGGTGTCTGTATCTCTTGGTGCCTGTATCTCTTGGTGTGTGTATCTCTTGGTGCCTGTATCTCTTGGTGCCTGTATCTCTTGGTGCCTGTATCTCTTGGTGCCTGTATCTCTTGGTGCCTGTATCTCTCGGTGCCTGTATATCTTGGTGTATCTCTTGGTGCCTGTATCTCTTGGTGTCTGTATCTCTTGGTGCCTGTATCTCTTGGTGCCTGTATCTCTTGGTGCCTGTATCTCTCGGTGCCTGTATCTCTTGGTGTGTGTATCTCTTGGTGCCTGTATCTCTTGGTGTGTGTATCTCTTGGTGCCTGTATCTCTTGGTGTCTGTATCTCTTGGTGCCTGTATCTCTTGGTGCCTGTATCTCTTGGTGCCTGTATCTCTCGGTGCCTGTATCTCTTGGTGTGTGTATCTCTTGGTGCCTGTATCTCTTGGTGTCTGTATCTCTCGGTGTCTGTATCTCTCGGTGTCTGTATCTCTTGGTGTGTGTATCTCTTGGTGCCTGTATCTCTTGGTGCCTGTATCTCTTGGTGTGTGTATCTCTCGGTGTCTGTATCTCTCGGTGTCTGTATCTCTCGGTGTCTGTATCTCTCGGTGTCTGTATCTCTCGGTGTCTGTATCTCTCGGTGTCTGTATCTCTTGGTGTGTGTATCTCTTGGTGCCTGTATCTCTTGGTGCCTGTATCTCTTGGTGCCTGTATCTCTTGGTGCCTGTATCTCTTGGTGTCTGTATCTCTCGGTGTCTGTATCTCTTGGTGCCTGCATCTCTTGGTGCCTGTATCTCTTGGTGTCTGTATCTCTCGGTGCCTGTATCTCTTGGTGCCTGTATCTCTTGGTGCCTGTATCTCTTGGTGCCTGTATCTCTTGGTGCCTGTATCTTTTGGTGTCTGTATCTCTTGGTGCCTGTATATCTCGGCGCCTGTATCTCTCGGTGTGTGTATATCTCGATGTGTGTATCTCTGGATGGCTGTGTGTGTGTGTGTGTGTGTAGCTTCCTGACAGCGTATTATTGGGCCACCGTAAGGACCGCGTGTACACATCTTGATATGATTACAAACCCTTTACCCACAAGTGCCAACATCCAACTGGATAAAATCATCAGCACATATAGGGGACCTTCGACAAGCCGTCGGCTTCCTGCCCTCGTCGAGGCCATTAGAGGACAGTGGCTCAGGTAAATTCAGGCAAATATTGTTCAACATCTATGTTTGTTACACAATGTAAACGACCACCACATACTCGGCCTACCCGGACTAGGCCTACGGAAATATCCCGGATGAACGATCCAGCGCCTGAGCTTGCGGGGCCGGGATAAGACGCCTGACACCTGTGGGTGTAGGCCTAGTGTGGCCGTTGTGGTATATAAGGCCTGGCAGGTCCTTGCGTCTGCAGACACACCTGAGGCTCCGACCACTACACACCATGAAGGTAAGTGTGACACAGTGTCTTACCTGAGGCTTGGCCCTGTACCGTGAGGTACTTTGTGACCCACGGTACTCTAGTTAGTAACTATAGGAGCCGTAGTAGTCCAGCCATGTTGTTGTGTCGGTGTGAGTTGTCGCCAGTGATCTTAGAGAAAGTTTTCGTCTTGTTTTAACTTTGTTTTTGCGTTACTTTTGATGTAATTATGTCACGTTTTACGGGGAAGGTTAAACAGGCCAGGAGCGTTCTTCCTTACGCAGGCCAGGCAGCAGGGCGTAGCTGTGACGGGGGACACAGCCCATGACCTGATCACTCTGGCCTGGCCTCATCGCTAACTTAGAATAAATGACTTGCTAATTCTTACTTCTTTTCATTGCGCTTGCTCTTCGGGAGCCATTATGTGCATGGCTCTCACAAGGTGGCGCTGGCGCCCCGACACCAGCGTCTGTGATGCTCTTGTGAAATACTCACACCCCGCTTCACAACCCTTATGGTGTACAGGTACCAGGGTAAACTGATGTATTATGAGAGACGGACCACTTATACATCTACGAGTGTGTGGCCTCGCAGTGTTGACTCGTAGTATTACCTTTAATGCAAATACCAAACCTTATTACTCTTAATCTTACTTTAGACAGCAGCAATAGTATTGCAACTACGCAAGTTTCTACACTGTTACTCTTACCGCCATACTGATATTACACTGCAACTGTACGTGCGTTTCAACTACCTCAGCTCTTGTCTTCGGTAGTACACTCCGCTCGCAACAATATTGACTTACAGCAACACAATGACAGGAACACATGTAAGCCTACTGGCCAGTGGTAGGTAGGCCATAGTAAGGTGGTCCCTTAAATGGTGCGCCTTCACGATTTGTTCCACGCATTATTACCTCTAGTGTGGACCTCTAATATCTTATACTGAGGTTAACTCAGCCTACACTTGGGCTGGACGGTAGAGCCACGGTCTCCCATCCTGCAGGTCGGCGTTCAATCCCCGACCGTCCAAGTGATTGGGCACCATTCCTTTCTTTTCCACCCTCCCATCCTAAATCCTTATTCTCATATTCCATCCAAGTCGTAATGTCTTAGTGATAACTCCTCATAAATAATTACCTAACCTTACCTTAGAGAGACTCGGAGTAAGAGAGAGCGAGAGACAATGTGACCAACCCGCACACATTCACCCCACGGGGCTCGAACCACCGCCACCTTGTAACGTGACACTAATATTTGCCTGTGGTGTATACCAGTCATTACTCCCGGCGCGCCCCTGGGTGCTCCGGTACCCACACCACTGAGACAATATTTGTGCTAAACATCTTCCGAATCTTAAACAAATTACATTTGTCCAGGTCAAACTCCACTTGCCACTACTACGTAATAATGTCAGTAGAGAGTTGTGTGTATTTCCAGCCACGTGTTGTGTGTATGTAACGCCACATTGTTCCTCCGCAACTGTACTTATATATTAATATTTAACATAGCGATATAAGTCAACTTAGCTGCTGATTGTGTATACAATCCTTGTGAACTCATTGATTGTTTAAGGGTCCTGTAGTACAGCGGGTTCGTTCTCGACTCTTAATCGGGATCCCGGGTTCGATCCCCGGGCAAGGCAAATGATTGGGTACACTTTCTCTCACCTGTTGCATCTGTTTACTTGGCAGTAAATAGGTACTACATAGCTGTTAGGCCACTGTTAAAGAGCTCCCTCCTGAGGAAGAGAAAGTAGTTCAATCCTTAAGGAGACCTCGAAACAATTCCAACGTATATATATACAGACTTCCTGTCCCGGAGAACTGGAATTATACGGAAAAGTATAGACGAAGTCACCAGAGGTTAATTTCAGCCCGTCCTCCAGTCCTGTTAGTACTTATAGTACCGACCAGGACCATAGTACACATACCGACATACAACACATTTAGAAAGTAGAGACCGGCACTTTTGAATTTGGATACACCGGAAAAGGTTTTCTATTTATGTTACAAAGACAAACTAACCTAATCTAACCATCTTAGGCCTAATACACGCTAGCTGAGGCCTAATATAGTACATATGTGTACTATACTAGGCCTGGGAATATTCAAGTTTGTCTTTTAGCTTCATTTGTTTCGGACTCATATAAAGTGTATAGTACCAAATTCTACTATCTAATTGTTTAGTACGTCAATCTTTGTACTATGGTGCGCATAGTTACAAATACTACTATCTAAACAGGAGGATGGAGTTATTAAGATAGGTTCAGTTACCCTACTGCCTGTGGGCTCACCTGATGGTCTAGCTGACCGCCTCTGACCTAGTCTTCACTAGCACTGGCCAGTACTAGGTACTTAAACTACTTCATTACACCCCACAACTCAGACTGGAGATGCTAGAGGTTAGAGACACATAGTGGGCTTAGGAACCCACCTGTCATCTTCATTTGATAAGAAAGATCCCTTATAGAGCTAGCACACATCTGTATATTACTGTAGGTAACGAGGCAGTTATAAGGCAGTCAAGTAATAACTTTCCGTCAGCTAGAGCTTGTTGCTAGTTACACTCGCTAACTACAGTTACACCAACAGTTACACCCACTAACTACAGTACACCAACAGTTACACCCACTAACAACAGTACACCAACAGTTACACCCACTAACTACAGTACACCAACAGTTACACCCACTAACAACAGTACACCAATAGTTACACCCACTAACAACAGTACACCAACAGTTACACCCACTAACAACAGTACACCAACAGTTACACCCACTAACAACAGTACACCAATAGTTACACCCACTAACAACAGTACACCAACAGTTACACCCACTAACTACAGTACACCAACAGTTACACCCACTAACAACAGTACACCAACAGTTACACCCACTAACTACAGTACACCAACAGTTACACCCACTAACAACAGTACACCAACAGTTACACCCACTAACAACAGTACACCAACAGTTACACCCACTAACAACAGTACACCAACAGTTACATCCACTAACTACAGTACACCAACAGTTACACCCACTAACAACAGTACACCAACAGTTACACTCACTAACAACAGTACACCAACAGTTACACCCACTAACAACAGTACACCAACAGTTACACCCACTAACAACAGTACACCCACAGTTACACCCACTAACAACAGTACACCAACAGTTACACCCACTAACAACAGTACACCCACAGTTACACCCACTAACAACAGTACACCAACAGTTACACCCACTAACAACAGTACACCAACAGTTACACCCACTAACAACAGTACACCCACAGTTACACCCACTACCAACAGTACACCCACAGTTACACCCACTAACAACAGTACACCCACAGTTACACCCACTACCAACAGTACACCCACAGTTACACCCACTAACAACAGTACACCCACAGTTACACCCACTAACAACAGTACACCAACAGTTACACCCACTAACAACAGTACACCAACAGTTACACCCACTAACAACAGTACACCAACAGTTACACCCACTAACAACAGTACACCAACAGTTACACCCACTAACAACAGTACACCAACAGTTACACCCACTAACAACAGTACACCCACAGTTACACCCACTAACAACAGTACACCAACAGTTACACCCACTAACAACAGTACACCCACAGTTACACCAACTTGGGATATTTAACAAGAATTAAGCTTAATATTTCCTCCAGGATAAAATATTCGAACATTCCTTAAACCTTCAAAATAGTTCCAAGTTCTTAAATTTCTTTGTCCACATTAAATCGCAGTGACGTAGGTCATGTCCGCACCACTGTTTACCTCTACCTTTAGCCAGACTTTCGCCAGCAGTGACTTTTGACAGTATATTGTCCTGCTTCATGGAAAGCTGGCAGGATAAGGCTAAAGATGAGCTTGGACAAGCAAAACTTCTACGTTGTCTGTTAACATAATTCAGTAGACTGATAGTCCTCCACCAACGCGCTAAAAAAAATGTATCGAGAATTTTTTTAGCACGATTTAGCAATCGGCAAATATTTTTGTTTTCATTATTAACACCTTTACTGACAATATTAACATACAATTTTGCATAATCTGAATAATTCAACGTTTGCAGTGAGGATACTGCTCACATTCACTGCCCACACAGGGGCACAGGATCATATATAAAACAGTGAATCTGAATTGTATATTTTTCTTTCCTCAGCTGTTTATCTTGTTTGGATGCATGAGCGTGGCGTGGGCGGGGCTGGTGAGGCTGGAGGCTGAGGAGGAGAGCAGCAGCAGCATCTCTGGTCGAACCCTGGACTCTCTACCTAGGGTCGACCTGGTAGACGCCGCTACCAACCTCGTCAACCAGGTGATGGACGGACTTAACATCCCTCCAGCCTCATCTTATCTCTTCACTGAAACTCACACCGTAAGTCATCTCTACTGTAGCATCGTTTAATGAGTCATTAAGCCTTCTGCAGCCTCTCAAGCTGGCTGAGACTGCTGCTACACTCATCTTATTGACACAGTTTCCAACTTTTTCAAATGAACAACATCATTTTTTCTAAATGTATATAGCTTTCATAGATGTATACGGCTTTCATAAATGTATATGGCTTTCATAGATGTATACGGCTTTCATAAATGTATACGGCTTTCATAGATGTATACGGCTTTCATAGATGTATACGGCTTTCATAGATGTATACGGCTTTCATAGATGTATACGGCTTTCATAGATGTATACGGCTTTCATAGATGTATACGGCTTTCATAGATGTATACGGCTTTCATAGATGTATACGGCTTTCATAGATGTATATGGCTTTCATAGATGTATACGGCTTTCATAGATGTATACGGCTTTCATAGATGTATACGGCTTTCATAGATGTATACGGCTTTCATAGATGTATACGGCTTTCATAGATGTATACGGCTTTCATAGATGTATACGGCTTTCATAGATGTATACGGCTTTCATAGATGTATACGGCTTTCATAGATGTATACGGCTTTCATAGATGTATACGGCTTTCATAGATGTATACGGCTTTCATAGATGTATACGGCTTTCATAGATGTATACGGCTTTCATAGATGTATACGGCTTTCATAGATGTATACGGCTTTCATAGATGTATACGGCTTTCATAGATGTATACGGCTTTCATAGATGTATACGGCTTTCATAGATGTATACGGCTTTCATAGATGTATACGGTTTTCATAGATGTATACGGCTTTCATAAATAATGCTTCAGACCTCCTAAGAGTTCCACATATTAAACAAAAGTCTCAGGTAATAATATTCCATGGATGTTTAAGAATGTTATTTTTTAGGTAAAGATTTAGACATCGAGGCCAGATGCTGGAGACAGATAGGTGATTCTGCGTCGTGTATGAGTGTGTACTCACCTAGTTGTGCTCACGAGGGTTGATCTTCAGCTCTTTGGTCCCGCCTCTCAACTGTCAATCAACTGGTGTACAAGTTCCTGAGCCTAGTGGGCTCTATCATATCTACACTTGAAACTATGTATGGAGTCAGCCTCCACCACATCACTGCCTAATGCATTCCATCTGTTAACTACTCTGACACTGAAAAAGTTCTTTCTAACGTCCCTGTGGCTCAAGTGGGTACTCAGTCTCCACCTGTGTCCCCTTGTTCCCGTACCTCCCTTGTAAGCAAGTGTGTGTGTGTGTGTGTATTCACCTAGTTGTATTCACCTAGTTGTGCTTGCAAGGGTTGAGCCCTGCTCTTTCTCTTTCTTTCGGCCCGCCTCTCAACTGTCAAGCAATCAACTGTTACTAACTACTATTTTTTCACATACACAAACACAAATCCCCAGGAAGCAGCTGCCTAACTCCCAGGTACCTATTTACTGCTAGGTAACAGGAGCGTCAGGGTGAAGGAAACTCTGCCCATTTGTTTTCCGCCGGCTGCCGGGATCGAATCCTGGTCCCTAGGCCCACGAGTCTAGGGCGCTGTCCACTCAGCCAGCCAGGCCCCTGAGTGTGTGTGTGTGTGTGTGTGTGTGTGTGTGTGTGTGTGTGTGTGTGTGTGTGTGTGTGTGTGTGTGTGTGTGTGCTCATCTATTTGTGCCTACAGGATTTAACATTAGCTCTTGGATCCCACCTTTCTAGCTGCCGATTGCTTAAAGCAATGACTCCGGTTACTTAAAAATTATGAATAGAGTTTGCTTCCACAACCTGCTCCTTCCGTTCATTCCATTTTTCCACCACTCTCACGCTAAATGAAAACTTTCTAACATCTCTGTGAATCATCTCAGTCTCAAGCTTCCACCCATGTCCCCTCGTTCTGTTAATATTAAGTGTAAGCATTTGTCTATTTCCACTGTCAATCCCCCTAAGTTTTTATGTCTCTATTAAATATCCCCGCTTCCTACTTTTTCCTAGCGTCATCAGGTTCAGTTCCTTCAGGCGCTCTTCATATCCCATCCCTCTCAATTCGCGGACGAGCTTCTGAACCTTTTCTTGACTTCTTATGTATTTCTTCAGGTGGGGACGCCATGATGGGGCGGCATACTCTAAGACTGGCCTCGCGTAGGCAGTGTAAAGCGCCTTAAATGCCTCCTTACTTAGGTTTCTGAATGATGTTCTAACTTTTGCCAGCGTAGAGTACGCTGCTGTCGATATCCATCCTGACGTGCATGACCCAGTAAGGACCACGAAGACTTGCAAGGTTTGCACTAACAGGAACATAGATCTGCAAGATAAAGAGTTTCATAAGACTGTAGAAGCATGTTGAAGACATGTAGCGAGGGCTTTTAGTGACCGCCATATGGCCATCTTTGCCTGATTCCTTTATATGAAATTCCTTTATATGAGCGAGGCGCTGAGAGTGACCCTGAGGTGTGTTGGACAGGTACACACCGTGGTCAAGGCCAGGGCCACGAGGTACATCACCTGTGCCAAGTACGTCAGTAGCGACGACTGTGTGAGGAGCGACGACCCCACCGCCACCCTCGCCGACCCCACCGCCACCCCGGACGACCCCACCACCGCCACCGCCGCCACCACCGCCGCCACCACTGTCACCACCGCCATCCCCGTCAATAGGGTTGACACCATAAGTGCCACTACCACCATCGCCGGGATTACTGCCACCACTACCCCCGCCCTCCCTGAGGACACCACAGATAATCCCTCGCCATTAATCATGTAAGTTATACATGTTTTTCTTCCAGTATAAACCCTTAGTTTCAACATCATTTTCTTCCGGTTCCATTACCAACACAGTTAATGGGGGAGGTGAAACTATTCCTTACAGCTGCTTCCCCCCCCCCCCACACCCATCCTCCCGGTACACTGTGGTGGGTGCTGTACCCTCGCCCCCCCCCCTCTCTGCCAGTCTAGAGAGCGACATAACTCCTCCCGTGTCACCATTCATCGTGTGGTGCTTCCCTGTTCCTTGGAAATGTTTCAGACCTCAAAAGTGTAGCATAATGCTTTGTTCCCTTCCCCCCCCCCCATGCTTGGAGAGTGTACCACACAACCATGCTCCCCCATGCTTGGGGAGTGCGGGTTGTGAGGTCTTGGTGCACTCTGGCTTGTCTTACGCCACCTGGAGTGCGCCCCTTCCTTGTTTCCCTCGTCTGTTGTCTTGAGTGATGGTTGAGTGAAGGTTCCTGGCGCCTCCTGAGAGCTGCGTGAGGAGTGCTGGACGAGGCCCACCGGCGCACAGGTAATTGCTTCCATTACTTAAACAAATATTAATGATCAGAACTTACAATTTTACTGATAATTACACCTGAAACTTTCCAACGAAAATTACTGGTAAAAGAAATTGATAGGATTTACGTAGATTTCTATAAAAGCTCTATGTTTCGTACTAAATAAAGTTTAACAACAAATTCCCAATGTTTTAAAGATCTTCAAATCTTAATGGCAACTTTTCGCAAGTAAGAACCTGGTGTTTACATGCCTGGGGTGAGACTATAGAGAATCAAGAGCAGGAGGCCAGGGAGGCAGAGGTCTGCAATCTTAACTCTATTGTCTGTTTGTTCTCCAGGACTTCCCTAGACGAGCTGGAGTCGGCCAGAGCCTCGAACGCCGAGACGCCCGGCTTGGACGCCGACGACGCCGTCACCACGCAGGGTAGGCTCCCGGCACTCGTACTTCACTGTGTACCGTGTTCCCCGCCTTTTTTTTTGGGGGGGGGGGAGACTATTTCAGCATATATTCCTGTTTCACATGTTACTTTTGTCTGTTTTTATACATTTCTTCTCGGTCCCCTTGTTTACCAGCCAGGAGGCCTGGTCAGAGATCGGGCCGCGGGGAGGTTGATCCCCGGAATCACAGACAGGTATACGGGAGGTATACGGGAGATATAGCTTGCTTTAGTCCTTTGTGTGTTTCACCTACTCGTGTATCTTAACTCAGTCCATCGTTAAACATGCTCTAATTGGCTCCTTGTTTCTATGTAGTCACCTTCTTGCACAACTTTATCAGTTCAGTTTAACCTGCCTTCAGAAGCTTGTTTACTTCACCTATTTGTTTAACATACCTATCATAAAGTAAGCAATTATCAACAAGTGTTAAGCCAGTATGGCTATAGAGCGTTATCTTAGCATATCACACAGCTGATCATTCCCAGCTTAGGACCTCAGCTTCAGATCTCCTGCAGCCTCGTATTTGGATTGCAACCAAACCAAGCGCCCGTGAAGCTTAGCTTAACACCAACTTTAGGTTTTTCAAGCTTTTTTTCGTAGTAAAACAACTTTCTCTTTTAAGTAGCGACTGTAGCCATATCTGGAAAAATTATGTCTCGAGTCGGGACAAAAATTGTAATGCGATCCAATATTATTTTTCAATTTATTGTTGGGTTTTGTCCACAGCTCCTGTGGTGGCTGAGGGGAGGGCGGTGAGTGCCCCCGGCCTGGTGACGATGGTGACCCACACCTACACCAGCACCATCTTCACAACCACCATCTCCTCCGTCGTCAGCTCCCTCACCTTCTCCTACCTCGGCTGCTCCGCGCCCACAGTCTCCTCAAGCTTCCCCGTCTGTAAGCTGACCAAGTCCACCACCGTCGCGGAACTGGTGTGAGAGGCCAGCAGCATCCCCAAGATGAGAGGACGTGCTTCACTTGCAGCAGCAGCAGGAGAAGCCGCAGCAGCAGCAGCAGCAGCAGCAGGAACAGGAGCAGCAGCAGCAGCATACTCCTCCAACAGTCCTTTCATCAAACCGACAAGTTTGAATCCCATAACAGAGCAAAATTTTGAAAGAAAATCAACCTCTGTTGTCTTGTGTTAGTGTAGATTATTGTTGTTGTTAACGTTGACTTGACGTTATTGTTGTTTTCCTTAGTCTCCCGTACACGGTGGTGCTGGAGCTGCCTCATGGCCGTACACGGTGGTGCTGGAGCTGCCTCATGGCCGTACACGGTGGTGCTGGAGCTGCCACATGGCCGTACACGGTGGTGCTGGAGCTGCCTCATGGCCGTACACGGTGATGCTGGAGCTGCCTCATGGCCGTACACGGTGGTGCTGGAGCTGCCTCATGGCCGTACACGGTGGTGCTGGAGCTGCCTCATGGCCGTACACGGTGGTGCTGGAGCTGCCTCATGGCCGTACACGGTGGTGCTGGAGCTGCCTCATGGCCGTACACGGTGATGCTGGAGCTGCCTCATGGCCGTACACGGTGGTGCTGGAGCTGCCTCATGGCCGTACACGGTGGTGCTGGAGGTGCCTCATGGCCGTACACGGTGGTGCTGGAGCTGCCTCAGGGCCGTACACGGTGGTGCTGGAGCTGCCTCATGGCCGTACACGGTGGTGCTGGAGCTGCCTCAGGGCCGTACACGGTGGTGCTGGAGCTGCCTCATGGCCGTACACGGTGGTACTGGAGCTGCCACATGGCCGTACACGGTGGTGCTGGAGCTGCCACATGGCCGTACACGGTGTTGCTGGAGCTGCCACATGGCCGTACACGGTGGTACTGGAGCTGCCACATGGCCGTACACGGTGGTGCTGGAGGTGCCTCATGGCCGTACACGGTGGTGCTGGAGCTGCCTCATGGCCGTACACGGTGGTGCTGGAGCTGCCTCATGGCCGTACACAGCTGCCTCATGGCCGTACACGGTGGTGCTGGAGCTGCCTCATGGCCGTACACGGTGGTGCTGGAGGTGCCTCATGGCCGTACACGGTGGTGCTGGAGCTGCCTCATGGCCGTACACGGTGGTGCTGGAGCTGCCTCATGGCCGTACACGGTGGTGCTGGAGCTGCCTCATGGCCGTACACGGTGGTGCTGGAGCTGCCTCATGGCCGTACACGGTGGTGCTGGAGCTGCCTCATGGCCGTACACGGTGATGCTGGAGCTGCCTCATGGCCGTACACGGTGGTGCTGGAGCTGCCTCATGGCCGTACACGGTGGTGCTGGAGCTGCCTCATGGCCGTACACGGTGGTGCTGGAGCTGCCTCATGGCCGTACACGGTGGTGCTGGAGCTGCCTCATGGCCGTACACGGTGGTGCTGGAGCTGCCTCATGGCCGTACACGGTGGTGCTGGAGCTGCTTCATGGCCGTACACGGTGGTGCTGGAGCTGCCTCATGGCCGTACACGGTGGTGCTGGAGCTGCCTCATGGCCGTACACGGTGGTGCTGGAGCTGCCTCATGGCCGTACACGGTGGTGCTGGAGCTGCCTCATGGCCGTACACGGTGGTGCTGGAGCTGCCACATGGCCGTACACGGTGGTGCTGGAGCTGCCACATGGCCGTACACGGTGGTGCTGGAGCTGCCACATGGCCGTACACGGTGTTGCTGGAGCTGCCACATGGCCGTACACGGTGGTGCTGGAGCTGCCACATGGCCGTACACGGTGGTGCTGGAGGTGCCTCATGGCCGTACACGGTGGTGCTGGAGCTGCCTCATGGCCGTACACGGTGGATTAACACGGGTTGGTGAAAGTCTCTTCCGCCTTATCTTCTGTAACTGAATTAAACATAGAATCAATTAGACAGGAGTTTATTAATATTCCTTTCAAACACAGTCCGGGGCTGTCCCCCCCAGACCCACCTGTCCCCTCACAGCCCCCATTAGTCCCCCTCAAGCCCCCACCTGACCACCCAGCCCCCAAACTGCATTGCTGCTCACCCCCACCTGTCCCGGGTGGGGGGATAAGTACAACGCCGGGTACAGTACAACAAAAAATAATTCTAGAACTAAGTCAAGTCTCACAGCAGGAACGGTTGAGGGCCTCAGGCTTGCAACACTGCACACCACGCAGGCGTGACGGGGCGGATCTCGTCGAAACGTAAAATATACTGATCTATTTGGAGGATGCTAATCCGGACAGTTTCTTCAAAAGGTCTGACATAACATAAGGGGCAACACAAACAAGGAACAACGGGTTCAAGCTCAATAAGCCACATTGAAGGACTGAAAACAGGAGATACTTTTACACCCACAGGGTTATAAAAACCCATGGAACCACCTACCCGCCAAAGCCGTAAATTCCAAAACTTTGTTAAATTTCAAAATCCAGCTAGAGAAAGTAAAATCAATAGGGGATACCTTTGACAAGCCACCGGCTTCCTGTCCACGTCGAGGCCACTAGAGTAGTGGCCTCGTAGTGGACGTATTGTAGTGGCCCTTGACGAGGACTGGAATTTAGTGGCCCTCAGATAAATTCAGGAATTTCAAAATCCAACTCGATAAGATCAAATAAATAAATAAGTGATAATAGTGCGCTGTTAACAAACATAACAGCACAAACAGTGAGCTTAGCACAAGTCAGCCTCCAGTTAGTATGTGCACACCGATTTTAGTGTAGATATGTTGATGTGATCATCATAATATAATGATGTTAGGGCGGAAAATATTATTTTATTCATTAAATTGTATAAGGATAAATTAAAAGAACCTAACTTAAATATTATCTCAAGACATGCGCTAATAAAATGAACAATTGCCATGTATTTATTCATATTCTTAACTTACTATCAACTTCTATTGTCTCGTTTTAGTCAGTTTAGTTCATTTATTATGCACCCCATACCCATCTTGTGGGCGGTAGTGGAAAGGGCTACAGAAGAACATAATGGGCTCAGGGACTGAACCCCACCATTCATTTAGCTAAGCAAGTTACACTTGTGACGATAATCTCCTTCAAGAGATTGAGCCTGCTCTTCCCTCCAAAAATACGTCGCAACAAATATATAAAACTACTATGGAAGAAATGTCCAACAACGACAACAACATCTCCAAGGTTTGCCAGAGCGCAAAACGTATGCAGCCAGGGACACCTGCTTCACCTCAAACCGCCAAACTACCTGTCTTGTTGCCGGCTCCTCGCTGATTGGCCGCCGGTCTGGCTGCAACTGCACTCCACCCACCATACTACTCGATGTCTGGGGCCGCCACGACCTCAGTCCTCAGAATATTCAGTGCTTTCATACGGTTAACACTTCTTCCTGGTAGACTGAGCTTTGGCTTACGTGTACTAAGAGAGGTGATAGCTTAAAGCCAATATTCCTGCACCTCTCATTTTATTGTATATTGCACAGCTTGTTATTGCTCACTTGTCTTAACGTAACTTTTCATTTTGCCATTTAATTATTCTTATTATTTTGATTGATTAATTTTATTATACGAATTTGTATGTCCATTTTATTCATGTTTTGTTTATCTAACGTAATTAAAATTTCATTGTTAAAATTTACTTGTGTTTTGTGTGTCTTCTCCTTACCTTACCACAGACGAAGTTCCAGATTTTCTATTTTTTTTTTATTCTATGTGACGAGGCCATACCCCTAGCTTTGAACAGCCGAACACCAACGCGTTACCGTCACACACTCTTGATGAGCTTTTGGTCATATAGTGTTTTTGTGTACTGAACCGATGGTATTCGAAACGGTTATATATGCTTCGACCAGTACTCACATAAAATTACAGTCTCCGTGGTGTAGTGGTAAGACACTCGCCTGGCTTTCCGCGAGCGCTATGTCATGGGTTCGTATCCTGGCCGGGGAGGATTTACTGGGCGCAATTCCTTAACTGTAGCCTCTGTTTAACGCAACAGTAAAATGTGTACTTGGATGAAAAAACGATTCTTCGCGGCAGGGGATCGTATTCCAGGGACCTGCCCGAAACGCTACGCGTACTAGTGGCTGTACAAGAATGTAACAACTCTTGTAAATATCTCAGAAAAAAAAAATGACGAGAGACATCTCCCGTCACACAGGGTGCAGTCGCACCTCCACAGATCTCCAGTATCAGCTCTTGATACTGGTAATGGCTCAAAAGGGCCACCATTTACGGACTATTCATGCCCATACCACATTTTGGGTGGCTTAATCTTCATCAATCAATTTATTTATTTATTTATTTATTTATGCATATACAAGAATGTACATAAGGAATGTGAGGATACAATTATGGTAATTACAGTCTTGTAAAGCCACTAGCACGCGCAGCGTTTCGGGCAGGTCCTTAATCTAAGAAAATTTTAAGGAGGTAAATACTTGCAAAATTTATAGACAAAAAAATGATAACAGATTACATGGAATGAAAAAAAAAAAAAAAGATGAGAGAAAATTATAGGTACAGTATATTAAAGCACATAGGTAGCTATGATTGATTGCAATGACAGCTTAAAATGGTAGTTGACAACAAATTGGTAGTCACAATACAGCAGAAACAATATAAGATTGATTGCAATGACAGCTTGAATGGTAGTTGACAAAAATTGGTAGTCACAATACAGCATATGGCTAGCACATAAAGAAGACAGCAATGAACACAATGATAAGGTTGTTTGATATTACATAAAAATTAGGAGATTGGGTACCACTAGGTACAGAGCAAATTTAAAGCTCAGTGTAGGAAACTAAATAGATGAAGTTAGGTACTTTTTGGTTTTGCTTTTAAATAAGGCAAAAGTTTTACAGTTTTTCAATTCACTAGGGAGTGAGTTCCATAGACTAGGTCCCTTAATTTGCATAGAGTGTTTACACAGATTAAGTTTGACCCTGGGGATATCAAAGAGATATTTATTTCTGGTGTGGTGATAATGGGTCCTATTACATCTACATCAATCAATCATCACATAAAATCAGGGCAAATGGGGGAACCTTTGACAAGCCACGGGCTTCTTGTCCTCGTCGATCTAGTGGCCCCCAGGTAAATAAATAAATAAATAAATAAATTATAACGAATGGCACGTGCGATATAATTATAATCTGCAATTAAGTTCACTTTCACTTTCTAGATTTGTTTACGTTCGTGTATGGCTATTAAAGCATCCTGCACAGTTGTTAAGCCGCGGATCCCAGCCAGAGATAATTCATGAATGAATGAATCATTTCTGTCCACATGTAAATAATATTTACCTGAATTTACCTATGGGCCAGTATATCTCTAGTGGCCTCGACAAGGGCAGGAAGCCGGTGGCTTGTCAAAGGTCGCCCTGGTGATTGTATTGCGCTGGATTTTGAATTGCAGCAGTGTTCTGGCATTTACGGCTTCGGCGGGTAAGCGGTTCCTCGGGTTTATGACCTTATGGGTGAAAAAAAACATCCCCGTTTTCAGTCCTACATTGTGGCTTATTGAGCTTGAAACCGTTGCTTCTTGTTCGTGTCATATGTGACCTTTTTAAAGAAGTGGTCTGGATCAATTTCTTCCAAATTATTTAATATTTTAAAATCAGTCCTGATATGCCTGTAATTTGCAGTGTTATTAGCCCTGTGGCCCTCAACTGTTCCTGGTATGGTAGTCGACTTTATTCTGGAATGATTTTTGTCGTCCGGTGTTGAACTTTTTCTAAAGCAGCTGTATCTCTGGTAGCTGTTATGTTTTATTAAGTGAAACGTGATTCCTGCCAACATTATATAACCAGACCTCAAATTTAACAATTTACTACAGGAGCAAGAGGATCGCCAATTTGCTTGTGAAGAACTTTTCAGACACATAGGGAAACGCCTTGAAATCCTTCAATGCAGCTAACACTGCACAAACAATGAGATTCCATCAAAGATAAATCATATCTCCACACATCCAGACCATCATTAAACATATCTTGTTCAAAAACGCTGAAATAATCAACAGATACAACGACAATTAGAAGATTATACATAGGCGAAACTCTACTTATCAAACAATCTCATCAAACTATTAATAGCTGGCTTGCAATTAGGTACATTCAGAGGACAGTTGACTTAATTCTCGACTCCCAATGGAGGGATAACGAGTTCACCAGAGAGACTAAAATAGGTGGACACGTTTCCTTTCACCTTATGTCCGTTTTCACCCTGTCACCTAATGCACTTGTTCACCTAGAAATAATAATAATGTACCCAGGAGTCAGCTTATTGTGGGGTTGCATTCTGGGGAGGATCAGTAGTTCGACTTTGAGGGTGAAATAGATATAAGCCTAACATTTACTTAAATTTACTTGAGGGCTACTAACACTCTATATAGTTACCTTAACGAGGCCAGGAAGCCGGCAGTTTGTCAGAGGTACCCATTTGTCCTGATGATTTGATGCAGGCGATGAGTCACAATAACGTGGCTGAAGTATGTTGACCAGACCACACACTAGAAGTTGAAGGGACGACAACGTTTCGGTCCGTCCTGGACCATTCTCAAGTCGATTGTGATGAGGAGGTAGAGACAGGCAATGTCTCTGATGATGATTTGATCTAGTGGGATTTTAAAATTCAGCAGTGTTTTGGCATTTACGGCTTCGGCTGCTTGTTCCCCGACACAATGAATCATTATATATTATTTTAAAAGCGATAATGATGACAGGCATAGACTTACATTATGGAATATGTAGTTCTAGCCTGAGAATCTTGACAATGATAATCATCACTCAACTTGATAATGGTCCAGGACAGACCGAAACGTCGTGGTTTTTCCATTTTCTGATGTGTGGTTTGGTCATCTATCTTCAGCCACGTTACTGATTCATTGTCTGCATATAGTTCTAGCTAGTTGTAGGAGTTAAACACCATTTCTGTAACGCAGAATCTCACACCAGTTACGATCTCTGAAGCACAGAAATGGTTTCTAACATTATTAACAGCAAGGAAAGACAAAAGGGCGTTTTAATAAAGCTGCTAAAACATAACAGGGTAAATTAGTAAAAATGAAAGGTTTAATTAATGTTTATATATACAAGAGTTCTTACATTTTTGTAAGAATTGTTTGCATGTAGACAATTATATGTAAAGTATATGCATGGCCATGGTGTATGGAGAGTTAATGGAGTTTATCAATTATTTAAAAATAATTAATTAGAGTAAGTAATTTTAGAAAACTTTATCCATTAAATAAATGCCAGTGAATAAAAAGGAATACAATTTTAGTAATTGTTGAAAGACGTACAAATTTTAATTACATTTGGGAGATAATTCCACAATTTGGGACCCTTGATTTGCATAACATTTCTGCTTTGGTTAAGTCTCACTCTAGAAATATCAGTAATTCCAATTCAAATTACTTATTCAGGAAAAGTACTTGAAATGAACATAGAATATTGTTCTAAAGTGGCGTCAAGTCCACAGACTGTGTCGGTCACCATGTCACTCCCGGCCCCCACCCTTCCCCTCTCCTGATTTTTATTTTTAAGTCACAAAACGTAAACATTTAACCGGGAAAAATAATAAGGTAAGGAAGTTAATGCTTTTAAAATCAGTTTCGTACAATGTTAGTGTGGTTTTTATGTATTGTATTGGTCTTGGTTATACAAAGTGGCTTAATCCACCAGCGACAGCACTAAACTAGTTAATTTAATTCATGTATTCTAGACCCCGTCCTGTATGTTATGATGTACCTCGTCCTGTATGTTATACTGTACCTCGTCCTGTATGTTATACTGTACCTCGTCCTGTAAGCGGTAGTGGGAAAGGTTACGGAGGCACATTATGGGCTCAGGAACTGAACTCCTTTAACTAAGCAAGTTACAGCCTTCATAAGCTCGTTTCACAGCTCATTAAACAAACATAACTCTAACCAAGAATTTTTGCTTTGTTTAATTAGTTAATTATGGGCCCTACTCTGATCGTGTGACTGAGTGGCAGAATGGTTTGAGCCTCAAGTAATGGGTCCAGAAGTGGACCACACTGATCTATCTTGAGGTTATCTTGAGATGATTTCGGGGCTTAGTGTCCCCGCGGCCCGGTCCTCGACCAGGCCTCCCCCCCCAGGAAGCAGCCCATAACAGCTGACAAACTCCCAGGTACCTATTTACTGCTAGGTAACAGGGGCATCAGGGTGAAAGAAACTCTGCTCATTGTTTCTCGCCGTCTCTCGGGATCAAACCCGGGACCACAGGATCACATGTCCAGTGTTCTGTCCTCTCAGCCACCGGCTCCCGGATCTAAGGTATAAGCAAATTACATTTGTGGTGAGCAACTTGCCTATAATTTTCATAACTAATTCTGCACCCTTTGCTAAGCTAAAGAAGCGTGTTAGGCTTAACAAGGTCCTCCAAGGTCGGTGACTAGTTAATCCTAGACTGCTTCTCACAACAGTTACCTGACTCGGGTGTCTTATTTACTGCAAGATGAAGAGGCATTATAATTAATGAATTCACTGTGTTGGGGGACAAGAAGCCAGAATGTATTCATACATCTTAAGCTTATATTGAGTATCTTCCCCCCCCCCCCCAAGGTCGAATTACTGGCCCCACCCAGGATGCAACCCTACAACAAGCTGACTAACGCCTGAGTACCTACTTAGTGCTAGGTGAACAGAGGCATTAGGTGAAAGGAAATATGCCCGACCATTTCTGTCCCGCCTGGGATTCGAACTCGGAATTCTCGATTGTGTGCCTAGAACGAACCCGACTGTGCTACCAGGACCCTTATGTGTAAAGGAAATATGACAAAACGTCTGGTCTCATCCTCCCCAGGAATCAAACCCAGGACCGGTTGAGTATGTTAAGAGTCAACTCGTAACAAAATGAAACCAGAATGTAACCAGAATAATAGGTACCCAGGAGTTACATTCAACATAATAACTACGTCCTAAGTTGATGGCAGTCATTACATCTAAGTAATTAAGATGCCCGAAACGCTTTGCGTAATAGTGGCTTTAGGCATTGTATGTACTAGCTCTACCTATAAGTCTACCAATCCTTGTAAAAATTTATTGTATGTATGTACCTTACCTAAATAAAATTGTATTGTATTGTATTAGTATGACATTGACTCAACTTCAGCACTCACATACAGTACAACATAGAGCCAAAAAAGTATAAAAACTGTCAGTATACTGTTCTCTCTAAAATCAGATATTATGTTCCCCACTCTACTCTCCTCTCATCATACAACTCGTTAATCTATCCTTACATACTGTATCTGTGTATGGTACAGATACACAGAGTTTGTGCATTCACAGTTTGTAAATTAAACTGTGCTAATTTAATTTTGTTATTTACTGCAAATTTAACTACTGCAAATTACCTCAAGTCCATCATCACCCAGCAAAAATCTGCTATCAGAAGAATAACAAACTCTGTCTCCAGACAACACACAGCTCCCCTGATTAAATCCGTAAACATGCTAAACATCCACTCACTCCACACATTTTCTTGTGCTATTTTCATGTACAAAATCTTGTTCCTAAATGCTAATCCTGATCTGAAACTTTTCCTTGACAGATATAATAGAAACCATGAGCACCACATTAGAAATGATTATCTTTTGATATCCCTAGCATCAAACTAAATCTGTGCAAACACTATACAAATAAAGGGACCTAGTCTATGGAACTCACTCCCTAACAAATGAAAAAACTGTGCAGCCTATTCTGTATTCAAAAATAAGACTAAACAGTGCCTAATTTCATCCTCATTGTTTCCTATCTTGTGTTTCAAACACGCGTTGTATCTTGAGCTACCCACTCTCCCAATATTAGTGCCTAAGATACGCAACTTCACCACTGTAATCACTGCCATCAACTTATATCAAAGTTATTATGTTGAACACAAATCTTGCTACAATGTAACTATTAATATTCTTCAAATTTTGCTACAATGTACCTGTTAATATTCTTCAAAATTTGTTTCACTGTACCTCTTAATAATTATCTGTTAGGTTAAGGACCTGCCTGAAATGCTATGCATGTTAGTGCTTTTACAAAACTATAAAAATGCCTATGTTAACTACTCTCACAAACCCAAAATATATATAAATAAATAAAATAAAGTTTTATTTTATTTATTTAAATTCAGCTTGTTATGGGTGGCAACATTGGGGATGGGGGGTCAGTAATTCAACCTTGGGGAGACTTCGATGTAACCCTAACATGCTTAGGCTTATATTGAGGTTGCTTTTATCAAACAGGCACTGACTGCCTGTTCCCCAACACAATGAATTATTATTATTTTTTTTTTACACATGCTAGACTTGTGCAAAATGACTCCCACTGAAATGATTGGGCATGTTTCCTTTAACCTAATGTCTCTGTTCACCTAGGCTTTGGGGTTGCACCTTGGGAAAGGTCAGTAGTTCAACCAAGGAGAGACCGTGATACAAGCCTCAAGTATATATTATATACTAGAGGTACTGTATATATACAAGTATAGTATACAATGGGGCCTCGACTTACGATGCTAATCCGTTCTCAGAGACGGATCGTAAGTCGAAATATCGTAAGTCGAAGCGATTTTTCCCATAAGAAATAAAGGGAATTGAATTAATCCGTTCCCCACCCTCCAAAATATTAACATACAAATACATTTTATACTGAATACAATGTTTTTTTCTAACTACAATACAGTACCTAAGTTTCTCTTACCTTTATGGAGGGCTCTTGATGGCGTATGGAAGATGGTGATGAGGGGGGAGGAGGAGAGTTGTTACTGTTTGGAAGGGGAGTCCCCTTCCATTATCACATCAGGCAGTGATGTTTTCTCTGGGGTACTCTCTCTCTCCTACGTTTTGCCTGAACACCACTAGGACCTGGTTGTGGTTCAGTGCTTGTTTGTCTCACTACAAATTTGTCAAGAGACATTTGTTTTTCCCTTCGTTTTAACATTTGTCTGTAAAGATGCATCACAATGTCATTGAATAAGTTAAGGCAATGACCTACTGCAGCTTGAATTGGGCGAGTCGTTTCAGCAAAGGTTTGCAATTCTTCCCATGCTGCAAACATTTTCTTAATTGTTGAGGAAGAGACATTCTGTACTCTTGTTTCTGCTCTATGGTCATCCTTACATGGGTTTTCATATGTTGAGTCTTACCACTGACTTTCCTGGGACTCATGGCGTGATATATAATAATTACTTTAATGTTCAAAATGCAAAAAATCACCACAAAAGCGGAATTTCTTATAGGCGCGATTGTCACTAAGCAGGCAGCTGTAGTAAACTGAGGCAGATCGGCCGCATGACCGGGAACCACGCGCTCAGTCAACCCGAATGTGTACCAACAAATATAGGAAGTCGACGACACCATCGAATGTCGAGTCGCATTTTTCGATGAAATTTACATTGTAACTCGAAATTATCGTAAGTAGGGGCAATCGTATGTCGAGGTGCCACTGTAGTTTAGTTTATATAATTATACATTAAATTAAATTAAATTCTTTATTCAGGAAAAGTACATACATACGTAGTTGATTTACAAACATAATGTTGGATTTATATATAGAGCTAGTACGTACAATACCTAACGCCACTAATACGCATAGCGTTTCGGGGAAACATATTTATATGTATATGTTATTTAGTTTATAGTACAGTTTAGTATAGTATAATTAAGTTCAGCAAACCTGTTGTCTTTTCACAAGCTCGTGATGTCCACGAGCACATTATGGTGCTCGTGGTGCACTGTCTGAGTTCTCTGCAAACATGTTCTGGGTGACAATTGGGGCTCATGGTTTTTGGTGTTTTAATTAGGTGCTTGCAGCTCTGTACCTGGTTAATGTACCTTGTGGTGGTGTTGAATCAGTTGACCAAGCACTGAATCCCTCTGAGGATATTGGTTCCTCCTTCCCACTTTCCATGAATAAAACTTTTCCTGTTTGTTCTCCATGGGGGTCAGCTCGGGGAACTCCAACCAGAAATCCAATATGGAATGTAATGAAATTGGCTCCTTTTCTTTATTGTACAGTATTGTAGTCTTAAAAGAAATAATTATTATTTTTAATTAAAAAGATGTTGTACACAGGAGATAGCCACTAAATAAATGCTGCAGCAGACCCAGATAAAGAGGAAGTCTTGGTCAAAGAAGAACTGGGATAACAAACCAATATTCCTAGCTGGAAGTAGTGGAATTTTTCAGCTGCTGACACAGCTACTAAATTCAATAGTTTCTTTTCTTCCATTGGCACCTCCCTTGCCTGGTTGATTATACCTGGTTGATGGGGTTCTGGGAGTTCTTCTATTCCCCAAGCCCGGCCTGAGGCCAGGCTTGACTTGTGAGAGTTTGGTCCACCAGGCTGTTGCTTGGAGTGGCCTGCAGGCCCACATATCCACCACAGCCCGGCTGATCCAGAACTTCTCTTAGAAAACAGTCCAGTTTTCTCTTGAAGATGTCCACGGTTGTTCCGGCAATATTTCTTATAGTCGCTGGGAGGACGTCGAACAACCGTGGACCTCTGATGTTTATAGAGTGTTCTCTGATTGTGCCTATGGCACCTCTGCTCTTCACCTTGCAAAT